GTCTTTAGTGCGTGTGCTCCTACTGAGTTAACGCATTTTTCTTGGAAAGGCTGCCACGTGTCCTTCCTCAATAACTAACTTCTCATTTTTCTGCCTGAAGGAGGAATATTCTCCTATGGGCCCATGACAATGCTTCCCCCATTTGAAATACCTTGTCCTAAGGTGAACTTGGGATATAGGTGGCTATGTCCTCTGCATTTTCCCAAGTAGCTCAGAAACCTCTTGCCACTCCCACTGCACCAGGACCTGAGGAATGAGTTTGCTCTCCTTTAAGATTCGTAGTCTGTTGAGGACTGGTAGAGGTTGCAGGCATGATACCTTCTGCATCAATAAGTAATGGAAAAGGGAATAGTGTTGCAGTGTCATCTCCCTTTGAATTCCTTAGTGTGTGAAACATGGAAGATAGGATGTATTTTAGCCATTGCACTTGGCAGCAGTAACTTGTAAGCCACCGAACAATCTTAGCAAGGATAGTAAAAAGGGCCAAAGTATCTCATGCTAAGTTTTTGATTTTTTCGCAACTGAACTGAATGCTGCCGGTACGGTTTCAGTTTCACCCACACTTTATCACCAATCTGAAAGTGTTTCTCAATCCTCTTCTTATCTGCTTGATGTTTCATGTACTGTTGGGCCCTGGAATAAATTCTCCTTAAAGCTTGTCAAACAAAGCATTCCCTGGCTAGTAAGGAATCCTTAACTGATGGGTTATAAGATGGTGACGTTTGATACCTCAATAAGCCAGGAAGGGGTCTCTGCCATAGACCACTTGAAAGGGGAGTCATCGCCAATGCTATGAGGAAGGAGTATTGTACCAATACTCAGCCCATGGTAAAAAAATGACCAATTCTTAGGTGATTGTGAAGTTGAAACACCTGGAGGAAAACTCCAAAGGGGCTTGTTGACAGCTTCAGTTTGCCCATCTGATTGGGGGTGATAAGCTGTACTCATGGCCAATGTGGTGCCTTGTAGTTTAAACAATTGCTGCCAAAATTTACTTGTGAAAGTCTTATCTCTATCAGAGACAATGGACTTAGGCATGCCATGAAGTCGAACCACTGTATTGCAGAACAGGTCAGCGACTGAGTGCTTGTATAGGCTGCTTTCAAAGGTTGATGATTGAAAAATGAAAATGGGCATATTTTGGATAACCTGTCACTATACCAGAATACAAGTAAAAGCCTTTGAAAAATGGCAGGCCAGTGTTGAAAAATCCATTACTGATTATCTTCCCATATCTGAGAAGGGAGGGGCAACGGGTTTGCAAACAGGCCCAGCAGGTTGCCCACAGCAGCATATTTGGCTTGTTGACAGATGGAACAATGTTGTACAAACCTGTGTATTTGTTCCTTCATTTTGGGCCAATAGAACTCTGCTTTCACTCTGAAAATCGTCCTTGCAATTCCAGAATGACCGCCAATGGGAGAGCAATGATATGCTTCTAGGATTTTGGATATCAAGGGAGATGTTGTGGGAATTACCAATCTCCTTTCAAAATAGAAGTGATCCTTACTAGAAAGATGAGGATTTTTTGATTGTTACCCAGCTCACAATCCCGTAACGGCTGTTTCCAATACTCATGTGCATGTCGTGTTTGAGACTCTTGCAAAAACGTTGGTCTGAGTGTCCAACCAAGGCATGTTAAACAATCATCTGGACAAAAACCTCCGCAGGAATGTTATCTTTCCCAGGTTATCACTCAATTTTGCATCATAGCCAAAGAAATTGTGAGCCATTGTTGTGCTCAGGAGTTTGAATTGTCTGATCCGTTAGGTCGCAAGCTACGTTGATCAGTTTCATTGTGAATTGGGGCCCAATGGTAATGTCTGACTTTGCCAAGCCTCGTGTGGTTCTTTATCACTCCCTGGCTATACAGCCGCTTGCTTTTGCATCCGAGGGGATAGCTTTTTTGAGACAAACAAGCAATAAGGTTGTTTCTTGGCTGGGTACCCAACGCCATACCCGATCCCTAGTGCTCAGTTTCACTATAAAAGGTGATAACTAGGTAAGGGCAAGCACTGGAGCGTGGTCAATGGCTTCTCTCCCAAGCTCTGACAGGTTTTGCTGCAATGTCGACCAATGAAAAGCATCTTTTTTGAGCAGGTTTGGTAACCGGTTCCAGCAAGAGCAGCATAATTCTTTATAAACCGTCTATAGTCACGGATGTGCCTAAGTACTTGAGCTGTGTGATTGTGGCTCTGGCCAGTTCTAATAGCCAATGCACCTCTTGCTTTGTCCTAGAAACCCTTTCGCAAACGGTATGGCCCAAATAATCTACTGTGTTGTGCTAGCAAAAGTGCACTTGACAACTTTGCCATACAAAACATGAGCATTGTCAGACGCTGTAAAAACCGCTTCTAAATGTTGGGATGAGAGGACAGCTGGGGCTATACACGAGGATATCATCACAAGAATACAGAACAACTTTCTCAGTAATTTCTGAATAAACACCCGATTCATTAGTTGTTGAAATGTGGCAGGGGCTTGGTAGCCCAAAAGGCATCCACCACATCATACCATGGCCTGATGCGTTCTGACGCATCTTGTGCTGTCTCGGCTTCACCAAGAATTTGCTGATATCCGACCTCAAATCCACACTTTGAACGAATGTGCACCAAAACAGCTATCACGTAATTCTCCCACTATTGGCATAGGCACAAATTCTCCTTCACATTTATGGTTATAAGGGCCCTTATCAGTGGCAAACTATCCATGATCCATCTTTCTTCTTGACTAATAAGATGGGAGAGGAGAAAGGCACTAGTGCTGGGTGTAATTAGCCTTCAGCGCGCAATTGCCAACCATCTTTTCATTTGGTTTTTGACTGTGAGCATACCTATCGGTCTGACCTTCACGGATTACTGACCTTTATTAAGGTGGAATGATCCTGAAACCGTTGAGGTGGTAGCCTGCGGGTTTGTTGAAAACTCCTTTCATAAGATGCAACAACAAAACAAGTGCGGTTCCAATTGAGGATTTCTCACAGAATTCAGCTTGTTGTCAGATTCTTGTAGCTGTATAGACAACACTTTCCAGCAATGGATGATTTGATGGAGCCTTTCGATATGGATGAAATGGCTAGCTTGAGGCATAGTTGTTGTTTTCCAACTAAGGTGATAAACTTTACCCTCTAGCAGAAATTGAAGGCATAGAGCACTGTGAATCAGCCCACATGCAGGACCTAAGGTTGCCGGTTGCCAAACCATGCTGCACCTAGCACCAGTCTTGCTCCTGCTTACTGGTAACAAATAGACAGGAAAATTGGAGAGTGTAGCCTTGCACAACAACTTGCAGGTCAGAAATAAAGCCTTAGCAGACATTGAATTTCCATTCCCACCATCACTTGGAAAATTTGGGGCTGGTTCGATGGTAATTTCAGAAAGTGAGCAATCCGTGGCTGCAAGAATATTTCAGAACTGCCACTGTCCAATAAAATGTTTACTGGACAACCATTAATGACCCTGGAACTTAATGGTACCAACTCCACTACTGCCTTTAGAGCATTGAAAGACAAATGATGATTCATTGTGCACTGTTGTAAGCTGTCTACAGAATCAGTCTGAATCACATTGTCCTCATGGGTGCACTGCTCCTCATCAACTTGCAGGATCATGTAATGCTTGTTAGGACACCGATGGTTTGGTGAAAAACGTTCATCACAGTATAGCAAAGGCCTTTTTCGCGCCGATCTGCATTTCAGTGGGTGTCATTTTTTTAATAGGATTGGCCGGTTGGTGAATGGTTTAAACTGTGGGGGTAGGCAGAGAGGGGGTTGGGAATTTTGTAGTTTAGGATATGTGTATGGGGTGGTCTGGTGTGTAAGGTTATATGGTGGTTGAGATTTTGGTTTGGGAATGTCTTTTTCTTCAAAGGAGTTGGCTAAGGACACAGCCTTAAGAATGGAAAGTGGTTTTGTGCTATAACTTCTCGTTTTAAGTCTGGTTTAAGCCCATAATGAAGCAATCTAGGAGGGCATCAGGACTAAGGCCATAAACTTATTAGCTAAAGACAAAATTCAGTATAGTTAATTACTAAACAGGAATTGATTGAGAAAGCTTTTAAAGAGTGTAGATCTAGGANAATCTTACAGAGTGTAGATCTAGGACAATCATAAGGTGAAGGACCAAACTCTAATTCCAAGGCTTTTACAAATTGTTTCCAATTTTGAAAAGGTTGAGTTCTAGTAATCATTTGGAACCAAGGGATCACATCCTTTTCAAAATGTAGAGCAGCGATAGATAATCTATGTTCATCAGGTGTCCCATAAAATTCAAAAAATTGTTCTGCTTTAAACAGCCATTGCAAAACATTTTCACCATCAAAGCGTGGAAAATCAACCTTAACATTTCTCACATGGTATGGAGGTTTGGGCCCAGGAGGTGGATCTAAGATGTTTGTGCTTACCGTGCTAAAAGGAGGTGGAGGAGGAGGTCCGTGATGAACCAGAGTAAGTCTTAGGTTCTCCAAAGCAGCTTCAATTCCATCCAAACGGGTAGCAGTTTGTTGATCTCGAGTGTCTAATAAGGCAGCAAAGTCATTGTCGCGTTGCTCTAACAGCTCGACAACTTTCTTCAAATCACGAATATCTGAGGTCACCTCTTTCATGCGAGTATTCTCAGCCATTTGCAGAAAAGTTGATGTAGCAGAATGAAAGCACCAATGTAACAGTACTAAAATGGAAAAGAAATCAGAAATAAGGAAAAGGCGAGGAATGGCAGTGATTGTATTCTTCTATCAGCAAAATAGGTACCAGTACAGAATTAGAGAATATGAGGTGAGAGAGAGAAATCAGAAAAATACAGATGAGAAGAGAAAGAGACAATTCATCATTCTACACTACTCCCACTAAAGGGCAAAAGTTGTTATTATACTGCCAGCCTACTTTCCTTGCACGAAATCTCTCAGCCTAGTGTTGGTCCTTTTAGTGCGTGTGCTCCTCCTGAGTAACGCATTTTCTGGAAAGGCTGCCACGTGTCCTTCCTCAATAACTAACTTATCATTTTCTACCTGAAGAGGAATATTCTCCTCTGGGCCCATGACATGCTCATCCTAAGCCTTGCATCCTCCTCAATGTTAGCACGAGCACCCGAATCCAGTTGTTGAGCATTGGTCAAATGAAAATTGAAGAAACTCTCTTTGGAATTTGAGAGGTTTTGAACAAGAGAATTTGACCTCACTTGTCTAATGGATGGGCAATCCAATGCCACCAGTTGTTTTAGAAACGTTGGAATCTTTGGGATGCATTCAAGATTTTTGCAGCCACTCAAATCAAGTGATTTCAAGCTTGTAAGATTAGCAATGCTTTCCGGAAGGTTCACGATTCCACTCTCACTCAGTGACAGTTCCATTAATGACGACAGGCTACCAATGTGTGTTGGGATTTCTGTTAATTTGGCACATCCCGAACAATCAAGTTTACAGAGATGCTTTAGATTAACAATAGAGTTTGGGAGTGATTCGAGATCCCTGCATTTGTTGAGCTGCAGGGATCGAAGATTAATCAAATTGCCAAATGAGGAAGGCAGATCTTTGATAGCCGTTTCTGTTAAGTTTATGTGAGCAAAAGTTTGTGCCTGCTCCGTGATCTCTGGGAAGGTCTTCAACTTTAAGCAACCACACAAATCAAGTTTCCTCAACTTCAAATTGAAAATGGTACTTGGAAAAGTTTGAAGTGATTTACAGTAGGTAAGGTCTACTTTGCATAGTCTGGTGAGGCTTCCAATGGAAGATGGAATAATCTCAAGATTCTTGCAATCTCGCAAACTCAGTTGTTCAAGCCCTACCAGACGCCACAAGGATGAAGGTAGTGCCTGTATGGCTGTGCCGTCTAAGATGAGAACCGCTAGACCTTCCACCGTGTCCTCAATTTCGGGGAAATTTTCCAATTTTAAGCAAAGACAGAGACAAAGTTGCTTCAGGAATTTCGTCTCAGAAAGGTCACATGGGAAGGTTGTAAGGGAAGAACAGTTAAAGAAATTTATGAAACAGAGCTTCTTGAGACTTGGAAAGTTTAAAGGCACACCTTCTTCGAGTTCTGTCGACAATGTATGACTTTGTTCGTATATATTATTATCAGTCACTTCGTTTTCTTCTTCCTCATATCTGTCGAAAATAATTGAGAAAATGTCACTGAAAGTTGAGAAATAATCATATACAGCCCTCTCCGGAATATAACTTGATCTTAAGAAAGTTCTACGTTGATACTTCGGTTCCTCACGAGGGAATATTGAGAAAGTTTCACGTTGACGCTTCAGTTTCACATGAGGTTGACCGATGGAAAACATCTCAAGCTTGTCACACCCGGAAAAAAGAATCAATCCTGGTGATGTGGATAGAATATTGCTGGGAACAGTTACACTCTTCAAATTCAAACATGAATCTAAACATAAACAACTGAGCTTGCTGAGTAATATGGAAGAGTAAACTTTAATCAACTTTGGACAATCACTGAGAATTATTTCTTCAATATTTGGTGACAGATAAAGGTCTGGTATCCCGGTGAGTTTCTGAGAACCACTCAGATTGAGCCTTTTCAATTTCGGTAAATTCTGCTACAAAGGTAAATGAATCAAGTAACAAAGAAAAACTAATATAAAGTTTTAAGCTAATTTTAGCTATTTTTCTTCAGTAAACTTTTAGTTACATTATCTATTGCGTTTATAAATATCACTTTTGAAAAAACACAGGACTAAGAAAATTATGTTGGCTATATATTTGGTAGTTATTATAAAAATTCAGTAAATTTAGCATGTTTTGTTCCCTACCTAAAATTACATCCTAATAATTTCAACCTAGACTTATTATATATATTGATAAAACTGATGACAGTAATTTATAACATATTTCAACTATTTATCTTTATTATCTCATCTCATCTCTCTTCTTTTCTAATAAAAATATATTGCATAAATTTTAAATGAGAGTTACATCACTCTTAATAGAGTTGTAATGTGAATGAGAATGATATTCCTTTATTTATACTGAAGCTATATTACAATAGAAAAAAGTTAGATCAATTAAGTTTAAGTATGTTATGCATTTAAATATTTAAACGAGTTTTTATTAAAAAAATATATAATCTAGTTGTACTTAAATTTTTGTTTATTTTTCTTTTAATTAACGGCGTGATATGAATGTTTTTTTGGCTTACTTCTCAAAATATTATTAATAATTTTTTTACTAATTATTTACATGGGTTTATCAATTTATTTTTATTTTATTTTAAAATATTATATCAAAGATAAAATATGAATACAAAGTACTCTAAATGATGAAATCCATTTAATATTTTTTAATGATATAATTTATACCTTTTACAAATGATGAAAATTATAAAAAATGAACCAAATTATAACAAATTCCATTTTATTTATTATAACTACTCTTACCATTAAAATTATTATATACTATTTTAAAATTATACTTACTATCTTAGAAAAGTTAAATAATTACTATTGATTCTACTCATTCTTAGTTTTTGTTGGTGAAATCTTGATTATGAGATAATATCACTTAAACTTCAAGGATAGTTGGTATGCAAAAGATATCAAGACATCTTTAATCCAAAATTTTATAGTAACATATCTGTGAGTTTTTCTTCTCATATTGTTATCTTACTAATTTTTTTTATATATAATAAGACTTTCAACTTACTTTAAATTTTTAACTAATGATACAGTGTATTTTTTATCAACACCTAATTTTGGATGAATAAAGTTTTTTCTTAAATAAAAAATTTTAAAAAAATGTTATTTATTTTATTATTTGTACCCCTAGTTTAACTATTTCAAAACCCTATTCTTTCATTTTTCATTTTTACGGATCACTCTAATAGATTAACTAATCCAACACATTTTTTCACTCTAATAGATTAACTAATCCAACACATTTTTTCATCCTTATCACTTTTTTTTCTTTTCTCACCTCTTACCCTCCAGACAGATCATCCACCACATCGTCTTTTTCTTTTATCTAATTTCTCTATTCACTTTTTATATTAATTTTTTAATTTATTTTTCACTTAACTTTTTCTATTCACTTTTTTAAATTATATTTTATTTTATCTAATTTCTCCATTCAATTTTTATATTAATTCTTTCTTTTATTTTTCACAATAACTTTTTCTATTCACATTTTTAAATTATATTTTATTTCATCTAATTTCTCCACTCACTTTTTATATTAATTCATTCATTTATTTTTCACACTAACTTTTTCTATTCCCTTTTTTAAATTACATTTTATTTCACCTAATTTCTTTACCCACTTTTTATATTAATTCTTTCACTTATTTTTTACACTAATTTTTTCTAAATTATATTTTCTTTCACCTAATTTCTTCACCCACTTTTTTATATTAATTCTTTCACTTATTTTTCACATTAACCTTTTCTATTCACTTTTTTAAATTATATTTTATTTCACCTAATTTTTCTACCCATTTTCTATATTAATTCTTTCACTTATTATTCACACTAAATTTTTCTATTCATTTTTTAAATTATATTTTATTTCACTTAATTTCTCCACTCACTTTTTATATTAATTCTTTTATTTATTTTTCACACTAACTTTTCTTCCACTCCTTTTCTTTTAAATTATATTTTATTCATCCACAGGGTACATGCCATATACAATAACAACGCATTTTCAGTATGATTCTCGTACTTAGCAGCTTCTTGGTGATTATAAACCACATTAGTAGAAACCCTGTAGAAACGCTTAACAAGAGCCTGTTCTTTACTTGCATATTGTCCACCTATAACTGAAGCGGAGAAACGATGAAGGACCTGAATACGATCACGGAGATCGTTCTTCACAGTTGCTGTACTAGGTTCATTATCATACATATTGAAAACTTGCCCAAAATCCTGAGGGGTTCCATAAGGTCTCCTGTCACGAACTAACCAAAACATGACGTTGTTGGTATGATTCTTCAATTTAATATTGTCGTCCATCCAGACTTTTCCTAAAACGTAAACAGACTTAATACAGAATCTCTTTCCAACCCTGTGGGTAATACCATTACCTCTGGTGACGTCAGAGATACATAATACCTTACCAGTATGGGCAACATCATGACGCTGTTCAAAAGATTGGACCTTACATGGGCCTTCACAACCCTTTGGAACATCAGGAGAGCGGTACATTCGGTAAAAGAGAGGCTTCCTCCACATGGGCCTGTTGGACCATGCCCTTTGCTTTGTGACGCGGGCAGTGCGGACAACTGCAGGTGCTGAAGGGCTGTCGAAGATCAGTCTCCGTCTTACCTTGGAAGAGGGTGCGACATAAGGAGTACTCAGCAAACGCTTCATGGTGACCCTTCTTCCTAACAGCACAAATTAACTCCCTTACGAATTCCCTTCCAAGAGATCCAACTGGGTAAGCAGCTTCAATTAAGAGCAAATACTTAATTGTTAGCATACACCTGAAACCATGAAGGGTTTCAGGCATGTCATTAAGTAATGGATCAAATATCTTCATAGCGTGGCCCAACATCAGAGAGGCCCATTATTAAAAGCAAACGAAACTGATAAACAACCTCAGGTGGAACGATGTCATTGGTCCACGTGGCGAATAAAGCGGGACCGCGGCCATCTGGTAATATTATAAGGATGGCCGCTATGACACGTAGGCATTGGTACCCAACTATATATTGGTACCAATATAGGGGGGAAATGCATTGGTACCGAATCTTGTAGTGAGAGAAACTCCTACTTCTCTCTAAAATGTCTCCTCCAAAGCGTTTTCAGGTTAACGCGAAGAATTATTTCCTCACATATCCTCAGTGTTCTCTCACAAAAGAGTTTGCCTTGGATAAATTATTAGCCTTAAACACTCCTACTTCCAAATTATTTATCAAAATTTGCAGAGAATTGCACGATAATGGGGAACCACATCTCCATGTGCTTATTCAATTCGAAGGCAAGTTCAAGTGTACAAATCAAAGATTGTTCGACATCCAATCGCCAAATTGTTCCAGATTGTTTCATCCCAATATCCAAGGAGCAAAGTCAAGCTCCGATGTCAAGTCCTATATCGACAAAGATGGAGATACACTCCAATGGGGGACGTTCCAAATTGACGGAAGAAGTGCTAGAGGAGGTTGCCAATTCAGTTTCTGTAGGTTCATTGTTATTAGGGCAGTTAAGTACCTAAAGATTCATTGTTGTTTAGGGTGCTTAAGACCCTACAGGTTTGTGGCTTTTAGCCTTTGAAGGCCTCTCATGTTACCGATGTCTTCGTCTCCACCGTTATCCGTTGTCCACCATCGTTCGTCGCCAACTACCGTCTCAAATAGACGCAACTGCGTCAGTTCTTCTTGGGCTAGAGATTAGCCCGATCTAGCCCGATCTTCTTGTGATACGCTGCTAAGTATCACCACTGGGGAGTTGTCCAACAAAGAATTTTGGACCTCCAACATGTCTTTGGATCTTTGATGCCTTTGTTTTCATTTGAGTGTAATGATGTACTTTCCATTTGAGTGTGTTTATTCCAAGCTTGGCTCATACAATATGTATGATCCAGCTTGAGGGGGAGTGTTAAAATGTCAAATGTAATATTTATTTATCTTAGGAGGTGCCTAACTTGTCTAGTAGGTGCCTAACTTGTGTCTTAAGGATGTGCATAACTTAGGTTAGGATGTGCCTAACTATTAGGTTCATAGTTCTATAAATATGTAGTATGTTGTAATAAGAAATAAGTAAGAAATATAGATTTTATGTTTTTCCACAATACAAGACAACATCGAGAGATATATCTATCATCAATAATATGGGTACAATACAATAATGGACCACAAAGACGAAATGCATCAAACAAATGTATCTTCTACATATTTGATTTATAATTATCTTTAGCATGCTAAATATAACAGTAACGATATATGTATAATTGAGTGGTTCTAATAAAAGAAGTATCATAACGGGCAGAAAGGAATTGCCAATGAAAACATGTAGATATATAGTACAGAAAAATATGTGTAATAAGTTTAGAACATAAAGGAATATAGATAACTAGAAAAACCTGATCTCCTTCCCAAAGTTGTTCAAGATGGCAGTTTGGCATTTCGAGTCTCACTAGATTTTCTGGGTAAAAGTTCGGTGGTAAAGATCTTTGAGGGAAACCGGTCCAATAAAGAATCTTTAAAGTGTCTGGAAGACCTACAAGAGATGATTCACGAAACACTTTTGTTTCATTTATATCAGTAGAATAATATAGCATAAGCATCCTAAGATTGTTCATCACTTCGAAAGTTTGTGCATGTACTTCAACTTCTTCCATTTTTCCCACATCTACTAATATACTTTGTATTGCATCTGACCCCTGAAAGTAAATCAATGCAATTAGAAAAAGAAACTAAATATGAACTATTGCATTGCAAGCTATTTAATAATAACTCAATGGTCATCAATTTATCATAAATTAAATCCATTTGACTCTTTGGATTGAGAAACAATAGAACATACCTTGTTCTTACTTAAAACCTCATGAATTTCATCAACTTTCAACAATCGACTGCGTTTTCCAGGATGTTGTGGACACTCTTTACGAATAATTTCTTGACCCATATCTTGTATTAGATCGTGCATCATAATTCTACCGTCCAAGACAGATATTAGACATTTATCTTTGAGAACATCAATTCCAATTAAAGAAGAGAAACCACAATCTTCTAGTCTTTCTGCAACCACAATTTCCTCATGTCCTCTGTAAAAGCAAGCCATATCAAGAAATATATTTTTCTGCTCCTCATCAAGCTCATCATAACTTAATTTTAATACATTGAAAATATCAAGATCTTGGCACTTCTCCAACTTTTGCAACTGACTTTCCCATACTTCTGTTTCTCTATCATAAAGTAATGAACCCACAACTTGGAGAGCTAATGGAATTCCTTTTGCATATCTCAACATCTCTATTGACAAGTTCATGTAAGCATTTGCTTTTGAAGAATTTTGTTTAAAAGCATGCCAATTAAAAAGTTGTAGAGAATCAAGATAATTCAACTCCTTAACTTCGTAGATGTCATCAGCTCCAGCATTCTTTAACACTTGTCCGTCTCTACTGGTTATAATGATTCTACTGCCTTGTCCAAAACTATCAAGCCTTCCTACCAATTGTTTAACTTGAACTGAATCGGTAACATCATCAAGAATGATGAGAATCCTCATTCGTTTGAGTCTTTCACTGTAGTATAACCTAAAGGATGGTACTTCATTTAGAAGCTCAGACATATATTTTTCTCTGACAGTGGCTATTCCATCTCTTTCTATTTTTTTTAGTGTCTAAAACAAGGCTTCTGGACTCAAATTGCTTTGCAAATGTGTGATATATTTGTTCAGAAATTGTAGTCTTTCCTATTCCTCCCATGCCACAAATTCCTATGATCCGAATATCTGATGACTCAAAATGCATCAAGAACCGAATTTTTTCAATATGTTTTTCAATGCCGATAATTCCTTGATCATAACTAATGGAATCAAGATTCATTTTTTTCAAAATATCTTTCACAATTTGTTCAAGAAGTGTGTTTTCTGACCTGACAGATAATTTGGAAAATAAAGTTTTAGTATTCAAGCACAAAGCTAAACTAAACTAAAGACAAATTCAAAAGAGTGAACACCATTTAAAGAGATGATCAATGTAAGTATACGAACATTATCTTCATATATTAGCTTGGTTGGTTTAAAAGTTGCAAATCAAGATCGCAAAAGTTCTACAGTAACTGTTTGTGATTTTAGATACTGGATAACAGACTTGTACAAAGTTAAACTATAACAAAGTGATATGATCAAATCCACGACCGATTAAGAGAAAGAAAAAAAAAACACTTGAACTATGATGAGATCAACAGATTTTAGTAAATGAAAAGAGATTCTGAATATCTGAAAAGTGGATGTAAGAAATATAATGACCTGATAACGTTTGAATCCCAACCGGAGAGTCCAGCAGCTTCGGTTAGAGCATCCTTCCATCCTTGCACTTTGTCCATGTCGTCCTTAAACCGCTGTTCATACTCTTCGAAAGCTGCTTTGTATCTTTTTTCCTGCTTCCTGACAGTTGATGGATCCACTTTGTAGAAAATCGGTATCACGTCTCTTCTATATCTCTTCTTGCAGTTTAGTATACTAGTCAGTTCATTCAAGCACCAAGTCGAAGATGCATAGTTTTCGGAGAAAACAAGGACATAGATCTTTGATTCTTCTATCGCAGTTTGGAGTGCAGGCGAAATTTCTTCGCCCTTTTGTTCTCTCTCATCAATATATGCTTCGATGTGGTTCCTGTGCAGCGCTGCGTGAAGGTGACTGACGAAGTTGTGACGTGTGTCTTCCCCCCTGAAGCTGAGAAACACATCATACTTAGTGGGAGAAGTGGGCACAGCCAATGACGAAGAACTCTCTGCCATTGGAATCAATTATCTCTCCTTTCTCTTACTGCAGCGGAAGAAGAGTGAGTTTGTGAACAGAAAAATTATCTAGCTGTTAGTTTTTGGAAAAGTTAGAACGCTACATGACGAGATTGGCACAGGATTTTCTTCTGCTAAATGCGAATAAACCTTGTGAACAAAAAGTAGTCAAAAGATAATAAAGCATGAGTCATGAGTCATCCACTACAGCAACTAGACAAAAGAAAATAAAGCATGAGTCATCATCCACTGCAGCAACTAGACAAAAAGAGAAATATTCAGTCAATTGAAGACTCAATAATTTACATAATAATAATGGAATCTAAATTTATATCTTTGATAGGCAGTGAAACTTACGGCCTTCGCTGAAAATGAAAGCCAAATATGCTAAAGAAGTTAACGAAGCTCTGAAAATGAAAGCCAAATATGCTAAAGAAGTTAACGAAGCAGATAAATGAAGAGTTTCAAGAAAATACAACTTTGGGACAACGGATCAACCCAACGTCGACATCAAACTATATCTTAGAAATCTTGTCAACTACTGAAGGAACCCACCTGCAAAATGCCATTGAAAATGTAAATAAAATAAAAATTAAAAATGAGAAATTCATAATAAAAGTTGAACGTTTTGAAACTTGTAATTATCGAGTATTGGTTATAAGCCACACTCACCAACGGAATACAAATCAGCAGAAGACCAAGAGACTAGCCCACTAAGTACCTTTTTGCCTTTCTCTTTCTATCTTCCTTTCTTTCCCTTTAAGTTAACGAAGCCCGTACTTAAGAGTTTCAAAAAAATGCAATTTGGGACAACAGAGCAACCAACTTACGTCCACATCAAACTATATCTAACAATAACTTAAATAAAACAAAATAAATTAAAAATGAGAAATTCATAATAAAAGTTGAACTTAATTAACAAGTATTGGTGATAAGCCACACTCACCAATGGAAGACCAATTAGCAGAAGAGCAAGAGACTAGCCGACTAAGTAGCTTTCGGCCTTCCTCTTCCGATCTTTCTTTGTTTTCCTTGAAGACTGTCCAACATTGCTTCCGCTTCTATAAAGAGGACATAAGCCGCATTTTTTTATTGTCACAGCTGATTGGTACTGCACTAGTCTGCGACCTGGAGGATGCAACGGACTAATCTCAAAAGTGAAGCTTCGAGCATTACACACGCATCTCGTCCTTAGGGACTTCAAGTTGAATTTCCACATGAATGTGTGATATTGATTGACAATTCTCCCTTTACCATTCCAATTGAAATAGTTGATTAGCATATCATTATTTGAAATAATCTGTGTATCATCATCATCAGCTTCCAATTCTAGGCGGTAACGAAAAGAATCGCGCCTGCCTTTGATATCATTCGTAACTGATAGTCCAAAAACCACACACAAAGCGAAACCAATGAGCCTGTCATTAGGGCTGGGCACAGT